GGTGTAGACTCGTTGGTCGCGTCCACCGTTGTCGAGGACGATAAGACAACTACCAGTACCCCGGTGATGACCACGATTGCAGCTGTACCAGCGACAACGAGAAGACGCCGCGGTTTCCAGTGGTTGACGGCTTTGCCCGTTGGCATATCGATGGGCGCGATGGCGTTGGAGGGCAGTGGAGGTGGTGCCTCAGACTCGATGGATTTTCGGACAAGTCCAGCGCTCGCGGCTGCATCAATGACGACGTCGTCTTGTTCGGGGAACACGCTTGGGTCCGCCAGCATCTCCTTGATCTTGGCGACCAGCTCGAGCGCAAACTGCTCGAGGGTAGCGTCGGACGTCGCATCCATGTACAATAGGGTGCCCAGCATGAGCTTGAACTCACCCTTCCAGTTGGCCAAGTTCTTCATGCGAGGCTCCATGACGATAGGGATGATACGCGCCGCCGTCTGCGTATTCCCCGCCATGCCAAACTCAAGCTGGCAATTGTCGTTCTGGTTGGCACCATTGACCTTCTCCATATAGCGCTGTGTGATGAACACGGCTGCCAGCGCCGAGTGGTCAATGCCATCGGCCATCATCTTTTTAATGTTGCCGCGCATGCGGTCGGCGTCGAACCACGTGACGATGCCACTAGTGCCGGTCGTTAATACTTCATGCTCATGGTCGTGATACGTACTTGGCCTTGAGAACGTTGTTGATGCGAGAGACGCGTGCGTGGTTATCACGACCAGCCTCGTCGACGCCCCAGTCGTGCGTAAGGAAAACGTGGTAGAGGTACTTGGGCATATCTCTTGTCGACGCCAACCGACCAAATGGCGACCGCACATCGAAGGAAAGACGTTTCAATCCGTTCCATCAAAGGTCTGGGAACACTATTTCATGAACGCTCTCCTCTTGTATCGACGACGTATTCTATAGCATTAGATTTGTTTGGCAACTCACAAATCTCTCGGTAAAGCTGTAGCGCCCGTTGTCCTACACGGACAGACAAGCGCAGAGACGAAAGGAGTCACTTCGTCACTATAGGGGGATTAAAAGCTGGATTGCTAGTCTACGAGTCTTGTCGACATCCCCGACCATGCACACCAAGTTAAGCTGTCCGTCGGGGTTTGTGGTCAAGGTAGCGTGCGACTATCGGCTGTCCCGATCACCACATCAGTGTTAGTTGAAGTCGATGTCGAAGTCAGAGGTTGAGGTCACGGTCGAGGTCGAGATCGAGGATGACGACGAGGATGACGACGACGAGCCGCCAAAAATGGATAGAACAATTATCGCCAGCAATACACAGCCGCAACCGAGGATTGTCTTCTGGATGAGGCGCAAGCGGTCACCACCAGATGACAACAAAGCTGGAGGCGATGACGGTGTCACGACTATCGTTGGGTGGTAGGTGTTGTTGACCGGCACGACAGTGCTGGAGCCGTTGGGGCCCTTTTTGGGTGGCACCGGCAACGTCGAGTGGATAGCAGCGTCGATTGGAATCGTGTTGGGTGGGTCGACACGCACGTTGTCCATCATTGGGTTGTCGCCCGTCGTCTCGATCAGCACGTCATCTTGGTTCGGAAAGAGCGTTGTTTTGGCGAGCATTTCCTTGATTTTGTTCGCAAGCGTGTTGCAGAACTCCAGAAAGTTGCTATCGGAGGTTGCGTCCAAATAGAAAAGCGAGCCGAGTGTGAGTTTGAACTCGCATTTCCACTTGGTTTGATCCTTCATGCGAGGCTCCATAATGATTGGAATGAGGCGCGCTGCAGTCTGCGTATTCCCAGCCATGTTGAACTCGAGCTGGCAATTGTCGTTCTGGTTGGTACCGTTGACCTTCTCCATGTAGGTCTGCGTGATGAAGACGGCGACGAGCGCTGAGTGTTCGATGCCGTGGCCCATTTGTTCTTGATGTTACCGCCCATGCGGTCGCCGTCGAACCACGTGACGATGCCACTATGAGCACCGTTGCATGAGGAGCAGTTCCAACATAGATGCGTTGTACTTGGCCTTGAGAACGTCGTTGATTCTAGAGACGCGAGCGTGGTTGTCGCGGCCAGCCTCGTCGGTGCTCCAGTCATGGGTGAGGAAGACGTGGTAGAGGAACTTGGGCATCGACGACTGAATCCAAATCGATTGTGATCTTCTTGCAACCGCGTAACTACGGCGTAACCAATTTGGGGAGAAACTGCGACCAGCATGAATCAATTGGTGTAAGAGGCGACGTCCCATTGTATCCGGCTCGCTCGATCCGTGTTGGTCTGCATAGACTTGAGGTACTAGTACGTCTGTATCAACAGGCCACATCATGTACAGTAATGTGCTTAAATACCCGGTGGATAATGTACTCATTAACGGGCCACCGGACAATCTCTGTGTATCGTACGGTTTGGGAATCAGCGTTCGCTTCGTTTTGCCTTCTGGTGGTCGATGGACAGCTCACAGTCTGACTTGCCATTATAAGTTACCCGGCTATCACCACTGCAACTCGTGGTCATACGTTGAGGCTGCACTGCTAGCGTTGATGAGCCCTACTGCGGACCCAATCAATCCAGACTCCACCGTCCTCGTCTGCAGTCATTTTGGGATGCCGCGACTAAATTTAGCTCATTGGCGCTACGGGGAGATATCGTGTAACACAAGATGGTGGTGCAATTCGCAAGCAAAGTGCTAGTCGTTCTAAATGTAGTCGGCCAAGACGGGTCGCCATCATTGATGCAAGCCATGCTGGCTTGCCCGATCGGCAGGCAGATTTATCGACAGAAACCCCACTTTTAGATTGCCATGTTGCTAGTGTCGGTCATCAAGGTTCTCGTCTTGTGTGGAACGGCGGCAATCGCTAGCTCCAATGGAGGATCGTCTGACATCGACAGCTACGCGCCTCCGCTCTTACCGCCGCAGACACCAACACCAACGACGCAAGTCAACAGCACTAGTCTGCTCCCGCACAAGAAATGCTCTCCTAAGCCATCAGTGCTCACGAACAGAACGACACCCGTGCCGCCGAAACATCGCTGCGTGCCCAAGACACCCACACCCGTGCCGACCAATACGACGACACACAAGAAGTGCTCTCCAAAGACCCCAGCACCAGCCACTGTGCCTCCGACGCCGATGCCAACGCGGAAGATCTGTTCGACAAAAACAAAGACGCCGACGCCGTGCACCGAGATGCCACGCCCGCCATCGCACGTCGGCGCGACCCCAACACCAACTGCACCGACGACTCCAACGTCCGAGACTACGCACCCTACGACACCGGATGCATCTATCGCGTCCACGGAAAGACCCAAGTGCACGAAGAAGACGCCGGCGCCGGAGCCGACGCACACCGACGAAGTGCCCCATCTTGGTATGTGCGTCGGATTTTGGGCGCACTGCGACCAAGGTGAGCGCTGCACACAAGGGGCGACTTGCTTGGATACTGTTTGCCGCCCTGACAAGGTGGGCTACGAGCAGTGTGGTGGCGACGGCTGGCTCGACGACAGTGTCTGCGGCTCAATGATGGGCTGGGCGTGCAAGCGCCAGAACGCGTACTTTGCCCAGTGCGTCCCCGCTGCGATCACTTGCGCCCCATAGTAGAACCGGCGGCGTGTCGGTACTAGGACCATGTTGTGTAAGCTACGAAGAGTGTGAACTGCATATGCTCGCCATCATCATCCATTGTTGTTCTCGACAAGTCGAGGTTACACAAGACGTTCAAACTGCTGGCCTTGGACCGTCTGGCCCCGAAGCGAGCGCGACACGAGGTCTTGGAATCGGCGCGGATCGTTGCGGAAAATCTCGGCAGCTTCCTTGTTCAGCGGGTCGTCCGGGTTGGGCTCGTAGAAGAGGTAGATGAGGCCATAAATAACGGCGTTGATGTCGAGCACAGGCTTCCAGTCGTCGCGAAGAATGTTCAAGCACACGTGGCCTTCAAGATCGATGTTCGGGTGATAGATCTATGGCGATGTGAGCGCACGAGATCGCGCGGATGACCGTACCTTGGTCTCGCAGCGCACTTTCGGCGGTTCGTGCGGGTACAGCTAGATGAAGTTGAGATGCTTGGACGCAGACTAGAGAGAGCTTACCGCAGGGATCTTAAACGTGAAGTGATACGTGGCGCCGGTCCAGAGGCCCGTATCGACTGCCACCTTGACGTCGAAGGTCGTGAGGTCATTCGGGTCCGGGAAGCTCACGACAGCGGCAGATCCGCCGTCGAGCTCAGCAATGTCTATGCGCACGTGAAATTCCTGAGATCGCAGGATGCCATGCATGATGTACCTTTCTGGATGCGGATCTCGCCAGGCGTCCGCTTCTTCTCCTTGGGCTTTGCGGTGCGCTTTCCGCGGCCAATACCGAAGATCGACACCTTGGCCTTGGCCTCCGTCTCATCAGGCTCGGGGGCACCAGAGGCCTCGTGCTCAGCGGCGGCCGCAGCAGCGGCTTCCTCTTCCTTCTTCTTCTCCTGCTGGCGGGCCTTCAACTTAATCATGGTCGTCCGTCCGTCGCCCGATTCGTGAAATGAAATTATTTTATTATTTGCCGCCCTGCATACGTCAGTCGTTCGGTGAGACCGGCGTCTAGAATTATATCACTTCATATTTGTAGGGAATTGGACACCGCGATCTTTAAATTGCGCAGCCGAAATCGAAAATCGAAGCCGCGCCAAGAAGCGACGAGGAAGCCGCCAAACACAAGATGCTGAATGCCCCTGGTGGTTGCTATTTGAAGAACTCCAGGAAGGGATTACCATAGTCCATTGCATCGCAGCTTCTTGGCACGAAGAGCGATCATGATGACACTGCATTGAAGGCATCGGGGCTCCCGACGAATACACAATATATTCGTAATGAAAAGGGGCGCGCATGAGAGTTGAATATCCAATATCCTTCGCTCGGTGGCGTACGTAGTTCTGCGGTATGGCAGACACATACTAGTATAATGGGTGCGATCGTAGAGAGCACGAGCAAGAGGTACCCAACTGCTCCGGGGCCGACAACAAAGGCGCTACAGGCAACGCGAAGACAAGGTGCGTAGGTTCGTTTTTACACCCCACGACCTCTGTCTTTTGATGTCTCACAACCATGATTATAAACTGTGAGAGGATTCTCATCAAATGCGGGAGGAGGAGGGAGATCTTGCGTACTTTGGATTTTGAAGACAACCGAGCAGCCTCATGAGCACATTGACGAGCGCCGATATGGGCGAGCTCAAGCGCCCGTCCACGCGACTCCACGCACCTCCGGGCGGCAACTCCAGCTGGAGCTTCAACGACAATACGCCTCCGTCGCCACCCAAGGCCAAGTTCAACCCCCGTGCCAGCGCCTCTAACACCACGAGCGAGAGCTCGCCCTTTGGCGCACCGCCCGCCCCCGTGCACGTCGTTGCTGCGTCTGCGCCTCCCTCGGAAGTGGCATCGACGACATCGCGTATTGCTGTCTCCGTCCGCGTCGCGGTCGTCAAGACCAAGGCTGATGACGCTCTTGTCGACGAGTTCGTCGCCAACTTTCTCAAGGAGCTCACGCCGGACGTCTTCCACGAAGTCGTCGCCGTGCCGTCGCTCGAAGATGTCCCGTACGCTGCCAACAAGCTTGCTCTCAACGGTGGTTTCGACGCCGTCGTGTGCTTTGGCTTCCTCAACGCGGCCGATGCTCTGTTTCAGTCGACGGCCACGACCGTGACGCAAGCACTCATTCAGATCAGCATCGCTACCGTCAAGCCGATCGTTCGCGCGCTTTTTATCGGTGAACCGCGTGTTGCGTCAGTCAAGGCCAAGGGTGGCTGGGGCGCAGACTTTGCCCACAGCATCGAAGGTCTTGTGCATCTTGGCGGCTTCGTGTCGCACCCCTTCCGTGGCAAGGAAATCCCGAACGGCAGCCATCACGCTGCGCCCAAAGCAGCCAAGAAGACGGACAAGGTTGTCAGCACGGGCAACACTGTCTCCGAGGCCGTTAAGAACGCGCCTCGCGCCGTCGCCGATACCCTCGCTGCGCTTCGCCAGACTCTCTATGAGCACGGCGCTCGGTTCGCTCCACATTTTATGTACATCGCTCATGGTTTGCTTATGTGTAGCGGCATTGTCGGCTTGGGCCGCAAGTTCCGCATCATTGACGACGATGGCAGCAAGACGCTCGACATTAACGAGTTCAAGAAGGCTATTGCCGAGCACGCAATGAACCTCAGCGATAAGGTTACAAGCACTGTCGCATCGTTGGGCTCAGGCTTATTCGCGCATTGTGTTGTAGGAAATCACCGATTTGTTCGAGTTTTTTGACGACGACAAGTCTGGCAACCTCAGCTACGACGAGTTCCTCGTTGGCCTCCGCGTATAACATTTCATGGTGCCACGAGAGCTCATTACGTTTCTAGGGCGAGTTGAACGAGCGCCGGAAGCAAATGGTGCTCCTTGCCTTCACGGTCATTGACGCCAACGGCAACGGGGTCCGCCGCGTTCAATATGTCTATTTGATCTTGATTGCATCCCCGTAGATTGTCGAGCTCGACGATATTGTCGCCAAGTACAACGCCGACCAGCACCCGGACGTCATCTCGGGGCGCAAGACGAAGAATGAGATCTTCCGCGAATTTCTCGACACGTTTGACGGCGGCGAGAAGGACGGGAAAGTGACCCCCGACGAGTTCATTCGGTACTACGCCAACGTCAGCGCGTCCATCGATGACGACGACTACTTTGAGCTCATGATCCGCAACGCGTGGCACATTTCGGGTGGCGAGGGCTGGTGCGCCAACTCGACGTGCCGCCGCGTCCTTGTGACGCACCCCGACGGGACGCAGACGGTCGAGGAGGTCAAGAACGACATTGGCATCTCGGCGACCGACAAGGCCGCCATCAACGCCAACCTGGCGGCGCAAGGCATCAACGCCAGCGGCATCGAGACCTCGGGCTACGTCGAGAACACGTCCAAGCCCAAGGGCGACTTCCAACCCAAGTTTGCGGGCAAGAAGCAGCAGCACGGCGCCGGCGAGTCGTCGATTGTGTTCGGCTAAGTGCATCTCAACTTGTACACGCTAAAAAGAAGCGCGACAGCCACGATTAGTACCTACTATGGACACGGCACCCGTGGTATGAAACGTTAATCGACGACACCTTGTTGGGCTCGATGTACAGTATGTCTTGTCGGCACCACAAAACAAAGTCAACGAGAGACGGTCTTGAACCGGTTAAGGTCCGGTGGGAATACACTCAGAACGCGAACCGGTGTACACCTGGCAAGATGTCAGTTGACGACAGCATGGCGTGGGGCAGACTCCGCAGGTCCGTAGCGTCGTCGGACGAGTGGGAAGAGCTTCAGAGACCGGACGTGCAGCTTCTTCTCGACCTATGCAATTGCAGCAGCAGCAGCAGAAGCGAGCTTATCGAGGCCATGCCGCATTGGGTCGCGACGCACCTCGCCGAGCCACGCGCGTGGTTGCCGTTGCTGCGATGCAGCCATGTCGCCCGCAAGGCGTCCTTGACAGCGTCGACCTCACTGCGCTGGCTATCCACGACGGACGACGATGCTATGATGCAGCACCTGAGCACGGTATTTCGTGACGCAATCAACGCCGATGCGCTTCGCGTCGTCTTCGCTATGGCCTACTCGACGAGAGCTGCGGCGCCATGGCTATGGCTTGTGTCTCTCATGGACCTACCGACCCAGCCAGGTCAATTTACCTACCAAGAGGCCGCGCCGTCAGTTTGTTACTTGTGTAGTGCGGGCGTGGAGTTTTTTTGGCCGGCACTCGGGACTCAGCTTCCCGATGACGTGCCATCTTGGCGACTGCTTTGAGCTGGAAGCAAACGTGTGTGTCGACCCAATCGAAGGCGTCACGATGGCGTTATGGAGCTGGCGCAACGACGCGTCAGGTTGTGGATTGGAGCTTGCCATTTCGCAAACACCGTCGGGTCAATCACTGGTACGCGAGAGATCTCTACATATCGCGTGATCTTGTAGTAGATCTGCACCACGTGGAACGTCACGACGTCTTCCGCGCGGCAGATCGACGTAGAGATCAGTGATCGATGGAACTTGATTGCCCTGGAGCTTTCTGGCGGCGTCCTCACGTGCCGTATCAATGGCAATGTCGTTGGCATCACAGAAGCCTTTTCCTGGTCCGCTCCGTCCAAGCACTCGCTGTGCGTTGCGGCGTCGTTGAATCCAGCGGCGTCATCGGTGCCATTGCAAGGCCGGCTTGCCGCCTTGCGACTGATTTCAGCAACACAACCATACGTCGTGCTCGACGCAGCCTACGAAGCCAATGACTCGACGAGCGTCACCAATTGGGCCGAAAACGGACAGAACACACATTTTGCTCGAAAAGCTTCCGATGATGCCCCGGGCATTGCGCTATGGACGTCCAAGTAGGCCGCTCCATATCATATCTCGGGCACATCACTGCTCTGTGCTCTGTAGGCACGTGCTCGACGTCTTGCGCTCTAGCGGGGGTGTTCTGTGGTCGCTAACGCCCTTCTTTGAGCGTACAATCTCCACACCAGAGCAACCGACGCCCCCAGACTCCGACATGGAACGGGACGACACGCCGATGCTTCTTTTTATCTGTCGTGCGATCTGCACCGACGCAGCGACGGCCGACGAGGCGCTCGTTCCATTCCAGCACAACCCGAGCTTTGGTACTTTCGGTCATTTCTGGGCGCGCCACTGGCTGCGCTCGCAGCCTGTGTCGGCTGCCCTCATTCGCGCCGTGTTTGAGGCCACGTCCACCCTTGTCGTCCGAGCGGCAACGTTGCCACCGCGATCCGACCTCACGCCGTGGCTCCAGGTCGTGCTTCCAAGTCACCAATGGTATGGACAATGACGATCCCTGGAGTTTATGCCTCACAACACGTCAGGTGCCGGGGCTCCTTCGACTTGCAAGCTCTTTACCTCGCTCAGCTCGACGCGTTTGTGGGCTTGATGGCGATCGAAGACATCCCACCAATGCGGTTTTGGTACGACACCTTGACGCGCTTCTCGACCAGCGCGTCATTGCGAGAGCAAGTACTTCGCATCGTGGATCGCGTTCTGTACCGGTCACCGGCTCGCGCAGAGTCCGCACTGGACGCACTTCACGTGCACTTGGTTGAAGATGAGCAGCACGACAACGTCGACGTGCTGACGTGGTGGGCCCAGCGCGTGCTGGCCTCGGAAAGTGTCTCTGGCGACGTCGACAGCAAATGCGATATGTGGATTGAGCACGTCGGTGCTGCGCACTCAAAGACGACCCGGGTCGCCGCATTGCGGGTGCTCGTGGCGTACGAGACACTAGGCATCTATCGCCTTCTAAAACGTTCTACTCCACGTAGGTACGCTCGAGACCACCGTTTGCGCAGGGCCTCGGTCTCCGCGCTCGCCGATCGCTGCGTCTTGTTGGACGAGTCACTGCCAGTCGTGGCGGAGCTCGCGTTACTGCGAGACCCTGCGCTGTTGTTGGAGTGCGCAATTCGAACGACTTCGCTGCGCTGCAAGCGACAGTGCATTGGTCACCTCGTCGCCAGCCCCGACGCTCTCATCGCTCGACTCTCGCGATGGCATTCGACGCCCATCGCAATGGTCCAACACGTCGCGCGCGTCGGCTTGTCCGTGCGGGACCGCGATGCAGAGTGGCTTGCGGTACTCGACGGCACGACGCAGCTGCTAGGCCACTGCATTGGGCATGCGCTCTGTGCCCAGGTCGACGCAACTTCATTTCTCGATGCAGCATTGGCTGCGTGTGCCCGGATTGCTATTGCTCGGTCCGTGGCCGCGCTCGTCCGCGATATGTGCCCGCCCAAGCACGCTGTGGCGTTTCTTGTCGCGGCCTCAACGCTCGACAATACACCCGCGTGGGTCTTGTCGCTGCTGCCGCTTTGGCGCGCGCTCATGACTCTGCCCATCACGGACTGGAGCTTTCTCCGACGCACCACCGGCTGGATACTTGCCCTCGAGGAGATGGCCTACACTGCCGATGGCTTCGTCTACTGTGGTGCCTGCCGGTACCTTGGACTAGACCACGAATGTCCGAAATGTGGTGTCCCTGGTGGCGACCCATACCGTCGAGATTTGCTACTGGTTCAAGGCTCGTGGCTCGAGCTGGGCGTTCCCGAAGCAATAGCTCTCAAATGCTTGCTGCTAGAGACGCTTGCGCAGTACCCGCAGGCGGCTGAGAAGGTCCAGTGCCTCATCTACACGCTACCGCCACACCTCGCTCAACAGATCCCCGAGGTCAGCGACCTCTCGCTCTCGGTGCATTCTTCTTCCTTTTTACCAACATGTAATGATTCATTCAATAGGTTCGGCAGCAGATAGCTGAGATCATGCGTGGGCCGGCTTTCGAAGCTGCGATCGCGCCGCTTTGTTCGGCCCCATCGGTCGCAACAGACACGGCAAACGGCGACAATGATGGAAATGAAGATGAGTCGCCCTGGACACCACCGACACTACCAAACGACACGGTGCCCGATCATGACATTGCGCGGACCGTCGGCGACGCAGCAAGCATTCTGCGGGTGCTAAAGCGAGTGCGAATGTCTCATTGCTTGTGGCAGACGGACACCGCGGAACTTTGCTACCGTGTTGACAAAGCTGAGTTTGGTCTTGCACGGTTGCGTCCACGCCTCACTCCGTATCGTGAACACGTTGGCGAGTCGCCAGCATTTCAACCTCGACTTTTTGAGAGTCTATCAGAGCCCCTCGGATCGTCCACGGAGCTCTGGCAGCACTCAGTGCGGCTCCGAGCGCGTGCGACCGCGCCAATCAGAAGTACGTATGACGATGGATTTCAGGCGTAATTACAAAGAACTTGCTGTAGGCGACCCCATTCCGTCAGGCAGTTCGGTCTTTGTCGCGAGCGTGCTTTTGCTGCGCGCCAGAGGCAACATCTCGGGCAGGTTTATGATCTCGTCGTCGCATTTCGTCTTTGCGCCCCATGAGTCGAGCTTACGAAAGTTGGCCGGCGTCGACGAGTTCAAGTACGCGCTGGGACGCCGCTACCTCCTCCAAGCTGGCGTCGCCATCGAGCTCTTTTGGTGGTCGTCGAGAGCACCGTGGCTGGTCGTCTTTGAGTCGGCACGCATCTGTACGCTGTGCTACGAAGCGTCGCGTCCGTTAGCCTTGGCAAGTCTCGCGCAGCGGGCACCTCATTTGGTACCGGCCGACTTGACTCGCGTACTTACCTGGCGATTCCGATATGAATGCTCTGATATGCTGAGTAGCTGTCAACGCTGCTCGGAAAGCAAGTCTTGCCGTCCCCGAGGGCTTATCTGGAGGCGATGGAGGCCACGAGTCGATGGCAGTCCCAGTGCATCTCGAACCTGGAGTACCTCATGCTCGTCAACACGGCGGCCGGACGCACGTACAATGACTTGAACCAGTACTTTGTCGCGCCGTGGGTTTCAGAGCCAACAGTTGCCGGTGCGCGGCGTCCGCTGCACGTCCCGATAGGCGCGTTGAACCCGAGTCGACTCGCGCAATGTCAGGCACGAGCGTCAGCCCTGGCATCCGAGCTCGACGACGCGCCGCCGCCGTTTCTCTATGGGTCCCACTACTCGACGACAGGCTCGGTCCTCTATTTTCTCGTGCGTCTGCGCCCGTTCACCCAGTACGCCAAGGATCTTCAGGGTGTGTGCATTGAACAATTCTGTTCTTTGTGCCAGCACTTGCCGTAGGAGGGAAACTGGACCATGCAGACCGTCTTTTTCACTCCGTCACCGAAGCGTGGACCAACTGCCTGACGTCGTCCGACGTCAAGGAGCTCGTGCCAGAGCTTTTCTATCATCCCGGTGTCTACACATCGCTGACACCCCTCGGTGTGCGCCAGAACGGCACTGTCGTTGGTGACGTTGTCCTACCGAACAACTCGACGCCGATGGCGTTTCTTGCACAGCTACGACACGAGCTTGAAGCCGCTGACATTGCACCGTAAATCTGCTACTTGCGTACCCACATCAGGTTGGAGCTGACAAACGATAGGTGGATCGACCTTATCTTTGGCTACCAGAACTCAGGCCCGGCTGCATGGGCTGCAAACAACGTCTTCTTCCATCTTACCTACGCCGAGCACGCGCCGCCCGTGCCGCTGGACTTTGGCCGTTTGCTGAGCAAGACCTAGATCCCGCGACGACGCAGATGCAGTACTTTGGCCAGACGCCGCCTCAAGTCTTTTTGTCGCCGCACCCGACGCGCGACGTTGCCTGCCAAACTGCGATATCGCCGTCCGCAGTGGCGCTCACGCGCGTGATGGCGCCGTCGCCCATTGCGTGGGTACTCGACGCTTCAGGTCGTGTAGTCTCGGACGACGGGGCTGTGTCGCAGCGCCTCGGTGATACGGATGTTCTCGTCATGTCCAGTCATCTTCCGCTACCGTGTGCACCGACGTACGTGTTGGACGTGGGTCCAGCCCACTGCCCAGGCCGCTACTTCGTGCTCCTTGACATCACACGTGGCCTCGCCGTTTACGGCGTTGACGTCGACGCGGGATGCGTCGTCGTGGCTCCATCAAACACCGCCTTCCTTCGCACTGGCCAGCCCATGGCGTGCGCCGCCATGTCCAGCGGCGCTTGCATCTGGGTTGATCACCACGGTCGCTGCTGTGCCCACATCATGTCCCTAACGTGGTGTGTTTAGGTATCTTGCAGGTGTGGACGAAATCCGTGCTCCTGGAGCTGCTTTTTCCTACGGTCAACGTTACGCCGCCGGAAGCGCCAACATCCTCGACGACAAAGTGGTCTGCGCTCTGGTCGTCTCTCTGGACACCCGACACGCAACTACCACCCCGCGTGCCTCCCGTCGTAAGCCCGTATCGCACGCTGGGCATCGGTGACGTTGTTGGGACCAGCGCGGCTGTCAATTTGGACGTCGACTTGGCCGTTGTGACCACGGCCTCAAGTCTCGTGCAACTCTTCGCGCTCCATGCGACCAAGTGGCTGCGAAGCATCGACGTAGCCGCCAACGTCGGGCGAGCATTGCATTTGACATGTTCGTCGATCCTTGCGCCCGAGTCGCACATCGTGCTAGTGTCCGAGACGCCGGAAGGCCTTGACGTGATTGCTGTCGACGTCAACGGCGTGCTCCTGAGTGTATTCTCGCTACCATCGGCAACGGTCCGTTTCGCGCAAGCCGTGCACGTCCCCCGCGAGCATACGCGTCCGCCGCTTGTGCTGCTTTGCACCGAGTCGCAGCTCTATTTGTACTCGATTTTCGATTCTTGCGCTGTGCTTGCGCATCAGCGAAGCCGCCACGTCATCCAGCGCGTCTTTGTCGAGGAAGACACTATCGTGCTTGGCTTCGACTCTGGCGACGTCGACCTCCTCAGTCTCCTGGGCCTCCTGGCCCAAGCAACCACGCACAGCGAATAAGCAACGCCATAACTATCGAAAGTTTCCTACTGGATTTCTTCACGCGACGCGCTCGTGGGCGTGGTCGGCAGTGACTGGGCGCTTACGCTGCTGCAAGATCGTGTCGATAAGTCCGAACCGAATCGCAGCGTCCGGGTCCATAAACTAGTGGCGATCTCGGTTCGTGGCCTGAGAAGGGGCATCAATACCTTGTCGCGGTCCATCGCCTGCTCGATGACGCCAACGTCTTGCTTCGAGTGCTGCGCGTACAGAGTGTTCAAGCTACGAAAGAATTGACCCTGTGCTACAAATGGCCCTAGATGTACCGAGCTCGGGTTTTCAAGATCTCCTCGGCTTGGATGGCGATGTCGCTCGCCATGCCCTGCGCGCCGCCCGACGGTTGGTGGATCATGATGCGCGAGTTGGGTAGCGCCGAGCGGCAACCAGGTGCGCCACCAGCGAGGAGTAGCGCGCCCTACACGAACGACAGTGTTATGTCGGCGGATAGGCGACGACAAAAGAAGAACCATGGATGCAGCTTGACCGATGCAGAGCGTGCGAACGCGAGGTTGTATATACTGCATCGTGTCGTAAATTGCGAGGCCCGCCGTGACGACGCCGCCAGGGCTGTTGATATACATGCACACGTCCTTCTCAGGATGCTCCTACGCACCCAATGTCTGAACCGCGATCTTTCTAGCAGGTGTACGCTTTCGAGGTAGAGCAGCTGGGCCGTGATCAAGCAGGCCATGTGGTCGTTCACGGGGCCGTGAAGAAAGATGATGCGCTCCTTGAGAAGACGCGAGTAGATGTCGTAGACGCGCTCGCCCCGGGGGCTTTGCTCGAGCACCATGGGCACGACACTACCCGTCGGGCCGCCGAAGGACATGAAGGTCTTGTTGGCGCCGCGAAGCACGCGTTGGCTCGTCGATCGTAGACCGTGCATCGATCTCTGCAAGAACACTAGTGTGCGATCCAAAACCGACACCGGCTTCTTCCGGATACGGGACGCCTTTCTAGCGCACGCTGGCAGCTTCGTTGGCACCGACCGTTCCCATGGTCTTCTGTCGATGCTGCGCATCTCCATACACCAGCACACCACGCGCCGAAGTGCATTGCAGTCGTCGTTACATCATCATCATCATCATCATCATCATGCGGGCTAAATTAATCGGTCGTCAGCGGCGTAGCAAGGCTCCCGAGTTGCGTGAGCGGCCAAATCTACGATGCTCGTCGTCAGCACCCAATGCAGCTCATCATCGATACGTACGCGCAAGGCGACGCGCCCTTGGATGAGTGCGTACGGAACGGGGCCGTAGTAGCGCGAGTCGTGCGAGTCCTTCTTGTTGTCACCCTCGAGCCACACGTGCCCCTTGGGCACAGTCTTCATTTCAATGCGACTCGAATTGTAGCGATGCTTGAGGCCGACGGTTTCGCCCTCGGACGCCACAATGCGCTTGCATACCGTCTGGCGAAAGTTGGAAGGCGACTTGGCGATCACGACCTCGCCGTTCCGCAGGCGCCGGAAGCGCGGGGTGATCTTGTCCAGGAGCACGATGTCGCCATGCTCGTTGAGCGTCGGAAGCATACTCGGTCCGACGCAGAGCACCACGTCGCCGAGCTGCAGCGCACAGAAGACGAGGCCGCCGAAGCGCGCGAGGCCGCCTGCGACCTTGGCAAGCTCGCTCATCCAGAGACTTTTTGTTGCCATCCGGATACTTTGTCGTCGTCCGGATACGGCCAGCGGAATCCGGTACAAAACCACGCCGACGGGTCGCGAATGAAGATCGCGTTTTCGCAACTTTCGGCATGGGCGACGTTAACGAGCTCATTAAGAAGACGCAGGAGACGCTCCAGCCGCTGATCCCCAAGCCGAAGCTTGCGGAGAAGCTCCTCCTCAAGCCGCCGTTCCGCTTCATCCATGACATCTTCACGGCGCTCATTGCAGCCACGGGGTTTGCCAAGGGCCTCTACACCGACTACGAGCTCGACTCGGCCAACATCAAGGAGAAACACCAAAAGCTGCAGTTCCTCGACAAGATGATCTACTGTGCTGGTCAGTGCCATGGCCGCGATATTGACGTCCGGTCCGCCAAGATCGTCGCCGGTCTCGAAGCCGAGAACACGAATATCTTCCTCGCCGACCTCGCAGCCGCTGCGTCCAACCCTGGTCTCGACTGGGGTGGCGCTGTGCAAAAAACACTGGTGGCGTATCCTGCGCTACCCGAGACACTTGCTGGTAGCGGCGGCGGTGCAGCGCCCGCCGCAGAAGCCAAGCCCGAGGCGAAACGGGAATCGACACCGCCGGCTAAAGAAGCGCCGAAGGACGATGCGGCGTCGAAAGAAGCGGATGAGAAGGTGAAAGCCGAAGAAAAAGCCAAGGCTGAAGAGAAAGCGCGGGTACGGCTTTGGTTTCGTACACCAATTTCCACTTATGGTCCGTAGGAGCGCGCACGACGGGCCAAAGAGGAGAAAGCAAAGCAAGACCGCGAGAAGGAGGCCGATCCCAAGCCATCGTCAGCGGGCAGCTCGAGCCGCCCATCAAGCAACAGCAAGGCGACTCGCGAGGACAACAACGGCGGTGGTGGCAGTGAATATGCCACGCTGGTAAGCGACGTGCTGTTATGTCATGTTGGAAGACGCATGTGTCGAGCAGATTGGTGAATGCAACAGCGACGTCGAGCGCACAAAAGATGTGATTGAGAAGCTCATTACAAAGCCCAAGATGTCGGCCAAGCTCTTAAGCAAACCGCCGTTCCGATTCCTCCATGACATTGTCTCGGAAATTGCGCGCGCGACGGGGTTTGCGGACGGACTTTACGCGGGCGATGAGCTCGACTCGAACGCGATCAAAGAGAAGCAACCCAAGATCGACTATCTCCAAAAGATTCTCAGCTGCGTTAGCGTCCACCTCAACGTCGAGATCGAGGCCAAGCCTGCTAAGATCGTCGCTGGCCTCGAGCCCGAAGAAACCAACAAGTTTCTGCAGCTCTTGGCTGTGGCTGCCAAAGCGTATGTGTATATCGTTGATGTAATGAGTCACGACTCGACGACTCGGTTCTAGCGGCAACTCAGGCGCCTCAGTGCAGCGCGTGCTGGCTGGCGACACGGCATTGCGGCCTTCGCGCTCGGCCGAGTCCAAGTCCAAACGGCCATCAGTATCAGCGCCGCGGACCGACGACCCACCGACTGCTGACGCCAAGAAGGAAGCGAAGGCGCAGCCAAAAGCAAAGGAGCCCGAGCCAGCAGCAGCAGGACCTGTGCCAATGAAGCCACTGGCGGTCACAGGTCTTGATGATGACGCCGATCTCAAAACAAAGGCACCCGATAACGACGAGGATGATGTCAAGCCTGGCACTGCCAACCGCACGGCGCGACCAACGACCGCGCGCCGACGCCCACCCAAGCTAAAGGAGAACGTCAAGGAGGTGCGGACAGAAATGGAAACAATTGCTTAGCACGCGGATGCATGTAGGTCGGTCGACTAGTGCGCGACGACAAGGCGGCGCCCACGGTGGGCATCATGAAGGACGGCGACAACGCTGAGAGCGACGACGAGGGTGGTGAGGGTGACAACAACGTTGGGCGCGGGCGTGAGATAAGTGGCGACAACGACAGCCACGGCAAGCTTGTGCGCAACATCCTGAAGGACCAGACCGCAGACGAAGAGGCTAATCGCAAGGCCAAAGATGACGAAGATGCCAAGGACGTCGACGGCGGCATTCGTCTCGGGAAACGGCGCAAGTCCTTCAAGGAGAAGACCAAGAGCGGAACGTCAACGGTCGCGGAGATGAACGAGCTCCGGCTGTCGATTCAGAAGATCTGTCAAGCGACAAACCCAGTCGGCAAGTGCATCGAGTACGTGTACGAAGACATGGAAGCGATGGCGCGGGAGCTCGAGAGTTGGAAAAAAGAGTACGAGCGGAAGTGCGTCGTGCTCGAGGAAGAGAAGAAGAAGTCAGAGGATGCGCTGCAGCCGCTCAACCTGCAACTCGTCGAGGTGGACGAGCAGATCAAGGAGCAGCTACACAAGATCAACACGCTCAAGGCTACGATTGCCAAGAACGAAGACAAGGCGCTCAAGCTGCTGCGCATGGTCGTGACGGCCTAATGTCCAAGATAGCGACTGGTCTCGTTAATGTGTGCTATATATTACGACAAAGTCTACTGTTTCGACGCGCGGGACGTGACGAAGAGGGACTTTTCAATGGGCGAGAAGACGTCGCCCCCAGCCTTTATACACGTAATGAGATAGCTCACGTCCTTCGCTTCGAACGCGTCATCTTGGCGGAACTTGTCGATCTCATCGCCGAACGCCGACGCAAAGCCCTCCATGTAGAGCTCGTCGAAGCGCGCCTCCGTGGCTTCGTCCGACAACTCGAGAGCAACCTCAGCACCACCAAGCAAACTGCGGCTTGCCTTGAGACCGTGCACCATCGAGCTTGAAATCTTTGCGAGCTCCTTGACAGAGCCATCCATTGCAAGGAGATCCTTGATAATGGCGTCGTACGTCGGCGCCTCGCCATCATTGCTCTGGAGGGTATACGCGGCCTCGAACGCTTGGCTGAGCAAGTCTGCGCATTGCATGGTCTTGTCCGCGGCCTCGGCTGCGTCAAATTCATGCGTGTCCATGTCTTCGTCAACGGCCTCCAGGGCCGACGTCTTCTCGAGCGGCTTCTCGCCAAGGGCCGCGATGAGCTTGGCGTACCCAGTCATTATTCACTCGTCTGCGGCTGCCCAAGATTATTATTACCCTGCTCCCACTATTTACTAGATATCGTCAAATAGTGTTTATAGTGTAAGATTAATAATGGTTATATTATGATGTATACACTAAAACACGACAAGCACACTATATTAGCAGGGTCGATGTTGCTGCTGCGGCTACGAAAGTCAAACTGTGGTTATGCAAGTATTGCTCGCATGTATAATCCTCGCGTGTGCTTCGGTGTAAAGTCACAAGGTGAGCTCATAAGGTGGGGTAGCAATAATGTGCTTTACTGTGCCAGTTGCGAGCGTGAGATGCTCGGGGGGAGCCTGCGTGTTATATTTTAGGGTCCACCCCCGGGTAGGTATCTTGACAATTCGTGACACGCGCTGATTATGAAGACGACGGGGGCCGTCGACCCCCTAGATAAAACGTCGAGCCAGGTGGCACAATTCTTCGTCGTTCGATGTACCTCAACGTCTTCGCCGTCCTTGCCGTCCTGTTCGTAGTCGCGCTCAAGGTCTCGCCATCCTTCCGCCAGGCGACGTTCGTATGGTCCACGTACTGCACGCTTTGGCTATGGTATCGCTACCGCCAATTCACTAAGAAGCCACACCAGAAGGACGACCCGGTGCCCCCGACAATGCCTGGCGCGGCTATCGACCCACCGCCTTCGATACGTCCCGCAAGCACATCCGTGCCCAGACGAAAGCCCAGCAGCTGGGCAGACTAGTCGAAGAAGAAGAATTGGTCTAATGCAGCATGTATTACTATGCACCTTATCGTACTCGGCCCTCTACGTCCGGCACCTACTTTGCCTTGACGCTGACAGGTCCCCGACGCACGACCTTGTAGAATGTCTCGAGTTTCTTCTCGCGCAAGCTAGATGGAGTTGCGGCTTTGGCGAGCTGCACTTGGCGGCGCGTCCGGCCTTGGCTAAAGCGTTGGGCGAATTGCGCTTCAACCCACGAGAGCACCGCGTCGTGGCCTTGCTGCACAACATGGAAGCCGGTGCCGAAGAGCGGGTCGACCTTCTTCTCCTTCGTCTCCTTAGTGCGCGTGGACAACGCTGTTTTGCGATAGAAGTAGACCGTGTGGCCTTCGCTCGAGCCTGCCATAGACGTACCGAGGCGACCGATCTCGTCGACCTCGAAGCCGTACTGCTCGAGGACCTTGCGCGGCTGATGAAAGCTGATGAAGTAGCGCGCCGATGCGCTCTCGTTGAAGCATTCGGCAACGTGCGCCATGACTGCGGGCGGGAAGCCAACGTCAAAGCTATAGACGTGCGAGAACGGCTCGAGCGACAGGGCGTCGGTGATGTCACCTTGCGTAAAGATGACTGGGTTGACTTTCGGATAGAGCGTTGACGTCTTGAGCACACCCTGAAGGTTCGACAAGCTGAGCTGCCAGCGCTGGTCTTCAAGCTCAATGCCGTACGAGACTGCAACGCCGGGCGTCATCGAGGCGTGGAAGTTGGGCTTGCCGAGGCCGCTGCCAATGTCCAAGAACACCGAATCGCGGCCGAGCTCGCAGTTCTTCTGCATATACTCGAGGATCTTGCCCATTGAGTTGCGCGTAATCTCGCCGTAGATAGCACCGCCTGCAGCGTTGCCACCCAGTGCACCCGTCGTCTTGTGGATTACCTTGTAGATCGATGCGACGTCGTGGTCCACGAACTCCGCTGCAAGCTCCGCCGATCGAGAATCGCTCAGAGGTTTGGCTGGCGCCTCTGTGATCTTGGGCTTCTTCGCAGAGGTCACGCGCGAGTCCAGGCGACGCTTGCGAACAGGCTTCTCGCTGGTGACGGGCCCGCGCCGGAGGGCAGGGTCTGAGGTCGCAGTCGGCCGCGCCATTGTGGGATTGGATCAAAATTCAAAATTTCCTGCGTCGTGACTGGCCCCGCAGCAAAAAGTCTCCATTTTTATTGGCGTTGATCGGTTTGCTACAACCGCCAAGTTTAATTTCCTCGTCGTGGTTATTATTTTCTCTGTCATTTTCCCTCCAAATTGCAGCAAAGTGTACCGGTAATTGCTCCATATGCACGCCACCACTGATTCGCGCTGCGCCAAGGAACGACTGCAGGGCTGTCTGTATTGGTCGGTCTCACGAGAAGCCTTGGATTACGACTGCTAGTGCTCAATCACTATCCTCGTCGTCCTTGGGCTCGGGCGCGCCGAACATACTCCGGATCATCGATTGCGGGTCCGTTGACCCCATCTCTTCCTGTGCCTTCTTGTACTCTTCGGGGTCCATCATACCCTCAGAAAGCTTGGGAAGCAGCCAGACCATGACGATGGGCACGATGAGCGCCAAGAAAGATGGGTTACGGACCAAGTCCAAGATGCTGAGCTTCTCGCGCGGCTGATACAGAGCATGAGGATCAAGCATTATACATGAGAATGATAGCCAGACGGACCTGGAAGTACTGCACCTTGATGTGCGCCTCAACAACAAGCGGATGACTCACGGGCATCTTCCCGGTGCCTATGTGTGTCTCGTTGAGTCGATAACGCCAGCCAGTGATGGCATATCGTGTACCCGGGTACTTGAACTCAAGAACACGGATTTGCTCGTCGGCGCTAATGTCCACCTTGAACTACAATAGATACATGAGGTGCTGGAGCTTTGCCGTGGAGATAGAACGCACTTGGCTGAACATGTACACGGGCGAGAAGATGTCAATAGTGTAGCGACCAGGCCCAACATCATGGAAGATGAAGCGACCGTCAGCAGTCGAGAGCGTCGAGCGAAGGCCACCGTCGAGGACGACCTTGAACGGGCTAATCGCGTCCAAGTCATCCTCAGTCGTCGATGCCGTCGCAGGCAGGTGGATGCGGCCTTCAAGGTCCACAGCACTACACCACCCTCAATGGAGGAGAGCTTACATGCACACATGTACCTGGCAACAGCCACGAGGCCGCAAAATAGCGCGCATACGAGAGTAAGGAGCGTCGACGTCATGCTGGCTTCCACGCGGTCCGTCAAAAGGCAAGGGAAAAGTCACTGGGACGCATTCTGGTCGCTGATTGGCCGAAATATGAGAGTAATGGCCGTCCCTTCACTTGGCTGCCAACATGCCAGGACAAGCTGCCAGAAAACTGCCAGGACAGACCTTGATGAAGAGCAGCGTGTGCTTGGCATTCAACTGCACAAAAACCAGTACCACAACACGTGTACTGTATGGCTTGTGCATTTTACAACTTGACTGCTTGTAGTGTGCCAGTGAGGACGCCCCACACTTGTGAGCTGGTACACTTGTACAGTATTACCGGTACCTGGTACATGTAATGCAGTGTACGTACGGCACACACCAGCAGGTTTTTTCTCAAAACCCATATATATATGTCATGAAAACTGGCCAACGGTGGCGTGTTAAAGCGGGTGACGGTTGCCAACCGTTTAAATAGTGTTCGATATCGATTAATGGTGTGATGAGTTTGAATAATGTTGACTGCGTTTGATTGGCTCGAGCTGTCGTGGCATTTGCAGAAATGGCATCTGAGAGGCCCACGCTGGAGCAGACCAGCACCACTGCAGTCCACGCCGAGCCGACTGACAGCGAAGGCAACCATGACCTCATCGCCCACGCTGTGCGCAAGGACGGCCTCACCACGGCGCAGAAGTGGAAGGATCACCGCATGAAGATCGGCCGAGCCCTGGGCATCGACGACGACAAAAAGCTCAAGGTACACGTCTCGATATTTTCTTAACCAATGCGCCCACTTCCCTATAGAATTTGGTGTCGGCCGAAATGCGTCGAGTTCGTGAAGCTGGCGCTGCTGCGAAGGCTTCTGTTGGCCCCACTGATGCAGACCCTCGTGCAGCCAAGAGGTCCGTTGTGATCAATGAAATGATACCGGTATCGTGGGTTTAGCAAAATTTCCATAGGATCTACAAGGCAGCGTACAAGAAGAGCGGATTCAGCGTGTTCATGAAAGAGAGATACACCGATTACCAGAGTAATACCCAACACCAATGTACAAATCCCTTACATGCAAAACTGTAGAGCTCCGCAAGACGGATCCGACGGCAAACTATACGGAGCAACGCTATGCTAAGCAATGGACGGCTTTGTCGGCTGAGGCGAAGCTCAAGTATGACCGTTTGGCATCCCGGCGCGATCAACCGCAACAGCGAACGCTCTCGGATGCCGAGCTCAAAAGCGGAAAGAACAAGGCTTTAAGAAGCTCCGATCTGCGATGGACGAGCTCGGAAGTTTAGGTGTGCAAGTCTTGTCGTATCAGTTTGACGAGAAGAAGAACTTCGGTGGCTGGATCATTGAAGGTATGAAATGCGACGTAGAAGTACACAGAGAGAAGCTCATGCCGTTGTATTTTATAGGAGACCAAGCCGGGCAAGTTGCATCTGAGATTGATGGCTTCAACGGAGTGAGCCCCGCCATTCTCTTCCCAACGTTTGTGGGGCAGGCCCAAGTGAACGCAATCAAACTAAAGAATTCAATCTCCAAGTAGACAGAGTCGTAAAAATTCCGCGAATACTCACTCAACAACGACAATGCAAATTTACACACGCCTGCACGTAATTAGCACAAGAACTATCTATCCATTACATGTGTACGACGACGTACAAATGAGGATATAGCGCGCCGGTACAGCGTTACAGTAGTGTTGTCGGGGTCAAACGGTGTGAGTTCAATTCCTTCTGCTTGCATTTATTTTTATGATTCTACCTATTTTATGCAGACCGTGACACTGCCACTGTGAGTGGTGGCAAGGAGGCTGGTTGCGTCTCAACATGCAATCGTCCGCTGCTCCGACACAAAGAGAAGCATGGCATACTGCGTGAAGTGCGTACTATACATTGTTATTTTTAGATGTTGTGCTGGTTGCGGAGCAGGCCTTGGGCGACAGCATCGGCGACTTCTGCCACGTGAATGGGAAGGATGAAACTGGAATTGATGTGGCTGGCATGGTCCCTTAGGACTTCTTCGGCTGCAGCGGCTTGGTTCGTGTAGGCTTCAGTGGCGACTTGAATAGCACGCAACAACGGAGCCCCGAGGTGCGGCGACGGCGCAAAGTGTTTCTTGATGACTTCAGACGTCTCCTCGAGCCGTTGGATTTGGGAATTGTAGAAAGACGCCCAATTGTGAAGGCCGTTCTGCACGTGGTAAATCTCTTCGACACAACGCCAATACATCGCAGTCCCATGTTGTGGTGTTAGTTCTTGGACAGCTTTGGCATACGTCAACTCTAGAGGAATAAATTTTGATCGTGAGACGTACTACAAGCAACCGTACCTGGAACCAGGCGAATTCTTTTGTCGACCTTCTCGCGTAGTCGCTTTGCTCGCCGCCGCATCGCAGACGCCCGGTTTGTGCCGATCTTGGTCTTTAGAAGGCGCCGGATATTGATGATGGCGCGAATGTCATCATCGATGATGGCGCGTAGTACGCTCATGGGTGGATTGCTACCCTTGCCAGCGCGATATTCTTGACGATATTCGTGCGTCGAGATGTGTTGACCAAGAGGTTGGACGCATAGCTAAAGGCACATGTAAGCCGACAAATACTAGATTAATCGACTTCAACCTGTCCACACAGCCGTTCAAGGAATCGTACTCGTGTTGCGCTTGAGTAAATGCTGTCTTTGCTGCCTTGGTAACGAGCGTAATGTAGCTGGCTTCTTTCTTGCGGTTGTTGTACTCCAAAAGCCACGCAATGTCCTGCTGGCGATTGCCTGCGGTCTCGAACCGCGTCGATGCGATGCTACGAGACAAAACGCTGTTTGTGCGCTCGTGGCCCTCCCCGTCGAGCGTCGTCCCGGTGCCCATAATAGAGCGTGGGCCGAACTGCGCTTGGCAGCGTGTATCGTGGGAGTACGCATGGAAGGCCGGTAGAAAACCAAGGTCTATTTCTGGTAAACCATTGACCTACAACGTTTGATGCGTTCTTCCAATCAAGCTCTCTAATTTATTCTCATTTCATACCTTTCGGTGGGCCATATATTTGCAAATCACATCGTAGCCAAGCCACAACGGACGACCGTCTTGTGGCTTCACGCTTGCCTCGACTAACGTGTCGGCACAGATAAGCTTCTCGCCAAAGGGGACGTCTATTTCAACATCATTTACAAAACTTTGCATAGAAAAGAACGTACCCACGATCGCATAGGCGATCTCATGTCTGCAGCCCACGTGTACAACCATGTTCACATCGTGGAGGCTGCGTTTCCCATCGTTCTCGCCCGCAGCTATGTTGGAGCTGCACCCGCCTCGCGGCACAACTTTTCCAGCGTCACTCTTGAGTGGGACAAAGTAGGAACTGGTCCACGAATAGTTGCCGTGGTCGCCACCACCACCATGGGCTGGCGCCATTTTTTTGCGGACGCGAAGCCGTCAATTGTCTAGGCATGCGATGTTAATGAGCGTGGTTTAGCATGTAGTATGTCGTACCAGAATTCGAGGGCCGCGTGTATGTTCGTCGCCCGCGCCCTCACACGCACCACACCTTGTTTTTGTTGCGACCGGTCGTGCCTTATCTTGTACGAGGTCACCAACGAGATCTTGGTGATGGACGTGTTGGTTGAGAGCCACGATATATCGTGTAGCGTCCATATATGGCTTGTACAGCTCGATATCCGCTTTAGCCCCGTAGAAGCTTTCGAAGCTCATCTTGTACGGGGCACCACATGCGCGCATTTGTGAGGCAGTGTTCACGACGCTGATGGAGAACGCGTGGTCTACGGTAGCACGTGGTAAGCGATACATGTTAGATAATACGGAAAAGCGTACTTGGATGATCCATGTTATCAGGCATAAATCCCATTCCAACGAGGAGGGGGCCAACTCGGTGATCAGCGCAGGTCTTGAGAAAAACACGGTCGGCGTCGATGTCAAACGTGTGCAGCCGCACAATGCGCGCCTCGGTTACGATACCGTCCGGGCAGCATTTGATGTCCTTGGCGACTTGCTCGGTGCTGCAGATCATCTTGTGGCCGATGGCCTGCTTGAAATGGACATCTGCGTGATGCTGGCACATGTGTGCGACGGTGTGCATGTCATGGCATGTCTTGCAGATTGATGTGGCACCGGCACCGCAGCCATCGACATCGCATGGGCGGTCAGAAAGTACGGGGTTCTGGAAGCGGCATAGCGCGCGCACGCATGGGTACAGGTCCGTTGCAAAAGCTTTCAGCCGGCTTCTCTCGTTGACTGCATGTTGCGTCGAGGCCTGTGCATCATGCTGGTCGGCGTGGAAGAGCGGCTCGGCTTCGTATTCAAAATTAAAATCCTCTTCGTCGAGCCCGTCGTCGCCATAGTCGTTGAGGTCGGCGTCGAGCCCGTCGTCCGAATGGACCTCTTCCGTCTCAAGCACCACTACTACACGTACGATAAGAGCTAATATAGAGAGGTGGGAGCATCGTACGTGAATGGGTCTCCTCGTCTTCCGCGGGGAGCGTCGTTTCTTGGCTGGGTGCTTCGCTTGGCCTCGGTCGGGTCACGACGCACGGCTTCATATGCGCCATCGACGGCGGTACGGACGATCGCGTCATGCGCAGACGCTTGGTTGAGCCTTTGACACGCTGCACCTATCGCGCTAGGTGAGATGGATGCAGCCGTGGCTTGTGCGGGTGCCCTACCATCGACGTTCGGCGGCGGTTGCGTATCTGTTGTTTCGAAAAAGCGCTGCTCCTTGGAAAACACTCCGGGTTTTAATCCGGTAGGCTAAACTAGGCCGAATTGGGATAGAAAAGGATATTTCCAAAGGGAACACTGTTTTCAATCGATTTAACACGCCACCGTTGGCCAGTTTTCATGACATATATATATGGGTTTTGAAAAAAAACCTGGTGCATGCTGCGTGAGGAATAGGGTTACGTAAGACCCCTACCAAGAACGAAGGGGTCCGGTGAGTGTCTATCAGTAGAATGCTAGTACACAAGTTATTAATATCAACTAGATAGACGATAGGATGCCATGCAAATGTATTGGATACCATATTATGAGGACTAGCACCGACTACGTTATTACGAGGTCGTCGACGGGCTGTACAGCGTGCAGGGCTTAGATTCCACGACCATGCGATGGGCGGCGGCAAATGCTTGGATTTCGTCCTTGTGTGGCGAGAACCGGCTAAAGTCGCAGGGCTCAATCTGAACGCACACATACGTGCAAGTCGCAAGCGCTTCCAAAAGCACGCGGACGCCTTTGATGGTGATGTCGTTGCCCCAGAGGCACAACTTAAGGGGCGATACGTTGCGACCTTCGTGCAGCACGAGTGCAACCAAAGCAGCGCTCATGTCGTCAAAGCGCTCGTGATGAAAGCTCGCAAAGGTCAGACCATTGGCGACGAGCCGGCTAAGCGCGCGACTCACATCGAAGAAGCACGTGCCGACCATCGAGCATTCGACCATCGTCAACTTCTGAAGGCCTTGCACGCGGCCAAGGTACGCGAGCACAGCGTCCACGGTCTCGGCGGGAAGCTCGACGTCATTGAACGAGAGGCTTTCAAGGTGCGGCCAATGCGACGTGTCCGTGCCGTGAAGGCTACCAAGGGCCATTGCAAGATGACGCAAGGCTGGCATGCGCGGCATGCATTCAAGAGTACTCGAGTAATCAATTCGACACTCCAGCGTCAGCGACGTGAGCTTGGCAAGGTCCAGCAGCTCTAACAGCGAAAGCATCTTGTATGCGGGTAAAATTGTCATGACGTTCAGTGCTGTGAGCTGGCGCAGTGGCATCTTCAATGCAACAAGCGCCGCAAGCAGGAGGTCGTAGTTGATTATATCAAGACCTTGAAGCGACGACGACGTCGCGAGCGCCCGCGCCAGCCCCGCAATATCGGGTATCGGGCGCCTCCCCCAGTTGTTGAGCGCGTGTCGCGCATGCCCGCTGGCCAGCCAAGGCAACAGAAGCGCCGTCCAGTCGTCGCCGTCCGTTGAGTCGTAGGTCGTGCCGATGACAAGCGAGCTCACACGGTGAGTTGGCGTCAAAACGGCGGCGAGGAGGTCGGCCGCGTTCGCGATCCCGGTCAAGTCGATCGACGTCAGGCGGGTGCAGCGCCGAAGAAAGCTGCAAAAGGCCGAAGTACCGACTTCGCGCTGCCATATTCCATCCACGTGCGTCATCTTGAGCGGATACTGCACAGCAAACTCGAGAAACGGTGTCACGGATTCGCAGTCGGTCGTCGCTGACAAGGGAGCAAAGGAGTAGATATCGTAGGCGTGGACCGACAGGATAGCTGGCAGCGCTGCGCGTACCAGTGGCTCGTCATCATCATTGATCTCTTCGAGGTCGACCTGCGGCCACGTGTGGACGAACCGACCAGGTCGCGTCAATAGCTCCTTGGTCGCCGCCAGTGCTGTGTCCAGCGACGTCAATGGCAGCGCCGACAGAAAGACGAGAGCATCAGGCGACTGGAGGCACTGGGCGATCGAGGTCAGGACATGCGGAAGGCTCAGCATGGTCGCGGCCCCGGGGCAGGAGAGCTTGGTCGTCGACATTGTGGCTGCCAGCGAAATAAAAATAGAATCCGAGTCAGAAAATCGGACTAATCACAGACGGGCAAGAAAGCTTGGACACGAGTCATCTCGAGTTGAAGTCGACGTTCGGAGACCAGCACTTTAAGACGACTCACTCCGAGTCTCCACCCGCCGCGCCATGCGTAGCAGTGTATGTACACTCGTAGTCGAACTGCAACGGAGGGGAGTCATTCCTGGGATTCATAGTCATGATTGTTTTCCTGGTAGGAACGTTTACGTACTTGTAGTAGTCGTCACGACATGACGACACAAATTCGCACCAATGTCATCGAGCATATATCAATACGACGAGCATTCTATTCTATACAAAGCCATTTCCATGGTCTTCAAGAGGACGTGCGACCCATACCACGAGTCCTGGCATGCTAGTACAGAACGCGCTTGTAGCCCAACCACGGAGTAGGGTTCGGTGTCCAACCCTAGCCCGTTTTTCGACGCGACCGTCCTCCTATTGTTGCTCGCCTTCCCGTCAACTAGGACACGCCTCACAAAGTGGCTACAACCGAGACAGTCTTGGAGAAGACGCGCTTGGTCGATGTCATTGGGATCTCGAAATGGAGGTCCACGCGAAACTAGATTTGACCGAGAATTCAAGTCTGAGTTGCATGGGTCTTGTTGACGTCCACGGCTGGTCGCAATATTCTTTGGGTTGGTCGTGTCGTTGTGTGACGTGGTCAATCGGACGCCAGTGAGGAAAGACGCAGACAACGAATGGCCTCGTGCATGAGAGCAACCATGATCGCTTGAGGCATTGACCATGAAAGAACGTACGGGCAGCTCTAGTACAGTGTTATCGAAAAATGACGTGACGCGACGATCGACTGCATTGCGCTACGTAAAGATCGTTGTCATGGCATTTGCCTCGAGGTGATAGACCACAGCGATCTCTGCCACGTTTGGACCACGCGTCGTTCGAACGGCCTCCAGAAACGGTCGAACTGCGTCGTGGTATAAATCGAAGATCGCATATCTGCCGGGTTCCATTTGGACGCTCACATTGGTGCAGACCGCAAGGGCTTCCACGAGCACACGGACAGCTTCAAAACCAAATTCATCGTAGCAAAGGTCCAGTCTCAGTGGCGACGCGGTGCGCCGTTGGCGCAAGGCAAACGCAAGGCGCTCGGCGTTGTAGCCGTCGAGGAAACAGCCGGTCAATCGCACTGCCACAAGCCCGCTGTTGATCAAGCGGCCGAGCGTGCGACTCCAGGCAGCGAAGCGGCCATCCGACACGCGCCCGAATGTCAACCGCTGGAGGCCTTGCACGTTGTTAAGGTAAGCGAGTATTGCGTCGAAAGCCGCGTGTGTAAACTTGACCCGCGTCAAAGAGAGGCTTTCGAGGTGCGGCCACTGCGACATGTCGACCTCATTGAGGTGGACCCGGCATAGCGAGAGATGGCGCAGTGCAGACATGCGTGGTACGCGGCCAACGACCTCCAACGCTGAGATCTCGTAGTCGCAATGGAGCGTGAGAGATATGAGCTTGGCAACGTCTATGAGCTGCATGAGCTGCATCATGGAGTAAGACATCGTCAATTCCAGCTCCGTAATGTGGTGTAGGGGCAGGTTCCATCGAAGAAGCTCGCCGAGTAGTTCGTCGTTGTCCCCAATACGGAGGCCTTGAAGCGTTTTCGTGGTGGCCAGTGCGTGCGCCAGCGCGTTGCAGTCGGGTGTCCGAATATGTTCGAACGACACATGTCGAGCGTGGCCACTCGAGAGCCATGGCTGCAGAAGCAAGGCCCAGTTCATCGCCCGAGCGCAGACCGACGCCGTAACGAAGAGCGATTGCACGCGATGCGCGGGTGTCGTGATGGCGGCGAGGATGTCGCTGGTGTTTGCTGTGGCATCGACTTCAATCGTCTCGAGCCGCGTGCAGCGACGCAGCACGCTACAGTAGGCCGCATCGCCGATCGCGCCCAGCCATCGCTCTTTCACGTGCGTGATCTTGAGCGGCCACTGCGAGCTAAAGTTGATCAAGCCTTGCGCTGGCGTGCTCGCTCGAGGACGCATAAAACGCTGAAACAGCTCGACTTTTTCGGCGCGGACCGACGCGAGAGTTGGGAGCGCCGCATGATAGAGCGCAACGGTGCCGTCGTCGTCGCAGTCGATGTCGTCTAGAAGGAGCGCAGGCCACGTGTACTGTAATGAACCCGGTTGCGTCAGAAGTTGCAAGAGTGCAGCCAAGGGCGTATCGAGCGCAGTCGAAGGCAGCGCCGATAGAATGGCGATAACGTCACGTGCCGACTGCAAGCATTGAACGATCGAGGTGAGGGCGTGCGGAAGGTCGACGACCGAGACGGTCTTGGAGCAGGCAGACGCGCTTGATCGATGCCATTGGAATCGTGAAATGGAGGTCAAAGCCAAAATAGATTTGACCGATAACTATGTCCTTTTTCAGATTGGATAGATATCGATTTGGGCTTTGACTGGCTAAGTCTATAAACCATACTAGTACTACGCATTGAGACGGATATGGTGGACGAGCTGGTCGCACGGTCTACTTGACGGGTTGTTTATGTCGTGTGATGTCAATTTTGTCAATCGGATGCCCTAGAGGAAACAAGCCGACTACGATCGCATCCATGATCGCTCAAGGCATCGACGACTAAAGGTTATTTCGTCGACAAGCAGCTCTGGCTCATATAGCTAGCTAACTACACTGTAGGGTTGTCAACCGTGTAAGGCGACAGCTCTGTTGACGACTTTCGTACACACGTATACCAAAATGTTCATGTTGTACAGTGTACATCAAGGAGATAATGCTGTTGTGGGGCTATAGAGCGCATAGAGCTTTGTGTCGCTTGGGCCACACGTCATACGGTGGGCTGCCACAAAGCGTCGGATTTCATCTTTATTTGTCATCGCCGCCTCATCTTCAGTGGGCTCGATCTGGACGCTCACATTGGTGCAGACCGCAAGGGCTTCCAGAAGCCCACGAACACCATCGATACCAAATTCATTGTAGCAAAGGTCCAGTCTCAGGGGCGATGTATTGCGCCGTTGACGCAAGGCAAACGCAAGGAGAGCGGCGTCGTAGCCGTCGAGACAAAGATCTGTCAATCGTGCCATCCTGAGCCCGCGGTTGACCAAGCGGCCGAGCGTGCGAGTCAGGGTAGCGAAGCGAGCGCTGCCTGTGCTGCAGCAGTGAAACGTTATCTGCTTTAGGCCCGACGCGTTGTTGAGGTGGACGAGCATCGCGTCGAGAGCCAAGGGAGTACACTTGACACAACCAAATGCGACGCTTTCAAGGTCCGGCCACTGCGACGTGTCGGTAACCCCAAAGTGGACCCACTGGAGTGAGAGATGGCGCAGGGTCGTCATGCGTGGTATGAGGCCGAGGACGTCCGAGATCTCGTACTGACAATGCAGTGCGAGGGACGTGAGCTTGGTAACGTCGACAAGCTGCATGAGCTGACGCATAGCCTTGGCGTTGGGAGTCGCCAGCTTCAGCTCCGTGATGTGGTGTAGAGGCAGCTTCCACTCAAGAAGCTCGCAGAGTATATCGTCGTTGGTGACAATACTGAGGCCCCGAAGGGACTTCGTCGTTGCGAGTGCGTGCGCCAGTCCGCTGCAGTCGGTTGTCGGAACCTTGTTGAACGACACGTGTCGAGCATGGCCACTCGACAGCCATGGCTGCAGCAGCGAAGTCCAGTTCATCGCAGGGCTGGACCCAGATAGAAGAAGCGTGTGCACGCGGTGGACTGGCGTTGTCATGGCCGCGACGATGTCTTGGGCGTGTTCACCGGCGCTTAATTCGAGGGTCTCGAGGCGCGTGCAGCGACGCAGCAAGGTGCAAAAGGCCACACTGCCGACTTCTTGCACCCACCTACTGTCCACGTGCGTCATCTTGAGCGGCCACTGCGAGACAAATTCGATAAAGCCTTGCGCTGGCGTATTGACGTTGCCTCGAGGACGCATAACGCGCCCAAACAAATCGAGTTCCTTGGCGCAGACAGACACGAGAGCTGGAAGTGCCGCATGATAGAGCGCAACGATGCTATCGTCGTCGCAGTCGATGTCGTCTAGAAGGAGCGCAGGCCACATGTACGCCAACGGGCCTGGTCGCGTTAGCAGCTCCTTGGCTGCCACGAGCGGTGCGTCCTGCGAAGCGGGTGGCAGCGCCTGGACGAAGACGACAACGTCGCGTGCCGACTGCAAGCACTGGATGATCAAGGTGAGGGCGCCTGGGAGTTTGGCGACCGCGCCCGAGCTCTCGCCAGCCATCTGGTGTAGGCCGTTTGTTGGCTGACCATTCGACGCCATCGCCTGCGGGTTCCTTTCTGGGTGCAAGAAGAAGTCGGCTCAAGAGCTGTGGGGTGCAATCATATGGGCTGGGTGCAGTGGTATTTCGCGTTGGGCAACTGACATTCCACGTGTGGTTCATTTCTGAGCACCCGTGTTTGTTTGCAACATTACAACTGTTTAGTCGAAACGAGGGCTTTCAGAAGATCAGAAAGCGATCGCTAGTTGACGACATTATTGGCTGACAAAGGCTTCGTAGCTCTGCCATTCAGTACGGCGGACAGGTGCCAAGATCTCATTGTGTGCCCACAGACCCGTGTTCATGCCTCAAATACGCAAATGATGCAGTGCATTACGTCAACATCCTCGGCGGACTATACAGCGCATAGGAGCACGCACCCTCCAAGACGCTCGCCATGCCGTGGGTGGCCAAGAAGGGCTCGAATTCTTCCTCGTAGGTGTCCGGGGGGATGTCGATCTTGATGCAGACAGCCGTGCATGTAGTGAGGACGTCCACGAGCGAGCGAATCCCGGCCATCGTAAAGTCGTCGACCGTGAGGTCGAGAGTGAGTGGCAACGGGTTGCGGATTTGGCGCAGCACACGCACCAGGTGGGTAGCATCCGAGTCGTCGATCCATGTACTCTCAAAGCTGGCGAGCGTGAGACCGTTGTTGATCAAGCGAAGCAAGTTGCGGCGGCGGCCGACAAAGCCCCGGCACAGATCGTGGCAGGAGTGCAACGTGATCTTCTGGAGGCCTTGCACGCGCGCGAGATACGCCAGTATGGCCTTGCATGCATCGCGTTCAAAATTGACTTCGAACAGCTCGATGCTTTTAAGGTGCGGCCAGTGCGACGCACCGCCCGCATCGTCACGCAGGGTGCACTCCGATAGCGAGAGGTGGCGAAGCGCTGGCATGCGCGACACCAAGGACATCACGTTGGCAAAATAGCCATTGCATGCCAGTGCCAACGACGTGAGCTTGGTCAAATCACATAGTTGCACGAACGCACGCAAGCTCTTGGGCCCATGCGTCCGGAGATGCACCTCTCGGAGCTGATGCAGCGGCATTTGCAGCGCCACGATAGCGCGAACGAGCGCGTTATTGTTGTCGATCCCAAGCCCTGTCAGCGACGAAGCGGTCGCGAGCGCAAGTGCGAGCCCCTTGATATCGGTGGTGCCGGCGTTGTTGAACGAGAGATGACGCGCGTGGCCAGTCGCGAGCCAAGGCCGCAGCAGCGACGTCCAGTCGAGCGTCTCGTCGCCCTCGTACTCAAGACACAGCTTCTCCACTCGATGGGCTGGCGTTGTCATGGCCGCCAACAATTTGGCCACATCCTTGCGCGCCGACAAAGTGACGGACCGGAGGCGCGTGCAGCGACGCAGCAAAGCGCCTACGACGTCGCTGTCGATGGTACGTGGATAGCGTGCGTCCCGGGCGTGCGACCACTGCGTGTCGAAGTACGTCACCTTGAGCGGCCACGACGCGACAACGTCGGCCAAGATCACGGTGTCGGTCTCGGACATCGACCGATCCGTGCGCTCGGTCTCTGGCTCCTGCAAAAATAATAGAGCCGGCAGCGCCTCGAGAGCGAGCGCTGCGCGGTCGCCATGGATGTCGTCGAGGCCGAGGTGCGGCCACGTGTGGATGAACGGACCAGGTCGCGTCAGTAGCTCCTTGGTCGCTGCCAGTGCTGTGTCCAGCGACGTCAATGGCAGCGCAGAGAGGAAGGCGAGAGCAGCGGATGGCGACTGGAGGCACTGGGCGATCGAGGCCAGCACGTGCGGAAGGCTCAGCACGGTCGCGGCCTCGGGGCAGGCGCGCTTGGTCGCCATGCTTGGATACCGAATTTGTACGAATAACGGGTCCATTTCAACCATTCTAAGTGGTTGAAATGTGAAGCTTGTCGACCAATCAAACACTGGCACGTTGGATGCAACTTCAACATGGCGGAAGGAGCTGGCGGCAGGGTTCCAACTTTTGACACGGTGAATTGGTTGGGCATCTAGCAACGGCAACCACACTGCTATTCAACTCGGTTAGTAAAAGAGATTTCGCTGGTCTTATCGAGCACGATGCCAACGACTCAGCGCGCGTCTCCCGAGATCAGGACCATCGTTGACCTTCCGCACGTCTTGAGCCGGCAGCGACCACGCTCGCAGCCTTACGATCGAGTGCACTGCGATAGTAGACGCGGAGGGTCTCGTGCGACCACGTCTTCGCTCTCGCCTCTCGGTATCCGCGACCACCAAGAGTGTCTGCTGCTAGAAGCCATCGCAAAGCGTGACGTTGTATGCGACGGACCAACGGCACAAGGACGAAGTCCCAGCTTTCGTGACCACACATCGCGTGTTGTCTCGACTCGGAGCGGTATGCGCTCTATAGTCCTGCTGGACTCTCGTCGAATGATAGTCGACATGATACAGACAACTTTGCATGTACTAGTACATTGGTGTCGTTATAATGTTCCCACCAGCGCACTCAAGTCGGGCGGGACCCATCGATACTCAACGATCAATTGACGGGTTATGATTCATGTCGCATGCGTACTAGGACTATAGAGCGTCCAAAGCGCGTCTTCATCGACGTCGCACGCCATTTCATGGGTTGCAAGGAATCGTCGAACTTCGTCTTCGTCCCATGGCTCTGGTAGCTCAAGGCGGACGCACACGTACGAACATGTAGCGAGGGCTTCGAGCAGCATGCGAACGCCGTTCATCGTAAAGTCATTGTCGCCGAGGTCAAACGTGACTGGCGCCACGTTGCGACATTGGCGCAGCGTCAGCGCGAGGATGGCAGCGCTGGTGTCGTCAAGGTTCGCCCCAGCGACGCTTGCGAGCGTGAGGCCGTTGTTGATCAAGCGAACGAGCGTGCGACTGAGGTCGATGAAACGGGTTGCAATCCAATGGCAGAGGTTGAACGTGATCTTGTGGAGGCCTTGCACGCGGTTTAGGTACGCGAGCACGGCATCGCATGCGTCGTCGTCAAAGCGAGCTGCACAGAGCTCGAGGCTCTCGAGGTGCGGCCATCGCGACGTATCGGTCAAGGTGAACCGGAGTTCACCCCAACGCAACGAGAGGTGGCGAAGCGCTGGCATGCGTGGTACGAGCGCGAGCGTGTCTTCGTGGTCGCAATCACATAGAATCGCAAGCGACGTGAGCGTGGCCACATCACATAGTCGCAAGAAGCGACGGACGAGGTCGGGCCTGTCTGTCTTGAGGCGCACCTCCGTGAGCTGGTGCAAGGGCAACTGCAGCGTCAAAAATGCTTGGACCAACTTGTCATTGTTGCAGATGTCCAAGCTTGTCAGCGACGCCGTGGTGGCGAGAGCACGGGCTACCCCACCACATCGGTGGTCCGGGCGGTATGGAACGAGAGATGTCGCGCGTGGCCACTCGACAGCCATGGCCGCAGCAGCGACGTCCAGTCCATGGTAGCTTTGGCGGTGTAAAAGAGAGACAGCTTCTCCATGATGGGCTGGCGTCAACTCGGCGGCGAGCAGGTCGACGATATCTTCGTCCCGAGATATGTCGATGGCTCGTAGGCGCGTGCAGCGACGCAACAAGCTGCAAACGTCGTTGGTATCAATGTCGTCAAACCATATCGACTCAAAGTGCGTCATCTTGAGCGGCCACGACGAGACAAAGTCGGCGAAGGTCCTTGTTGCGACGGTTGTCGATGGCGACCAATCTATGCGCCCAACGGCAGGTTCACACAACGAGACTAGAGCCGGCAGCGCTGATAAAGCAAGCGCCGCGTTCTCGCCATCGATTTCGTCGAGGCCGAGGTGAGGCCATGTGTGGACGAACCGACCAGGTCGCGTCAATAGCTCCTTGGTGGCTGCCAGTGCTGTGTCCAGCGACGTCAATGGCAGCGCCGACAGAAAGGCGAGAGCATCGCGCGGCGACTGGAGGCACTGGGCGATCGAGGTGAGGACATGCGGAAGGCTCAGCACGGTCGCGGCCTCGGGACAGGCGCGCTTGGTTGCCATGGCTGGTTATGAAACGCAATGCGACTGGTTGGAAAAGTTGGGCATTTAGACCAATGAAACACCGGAATACCAGTGCCGTGGAAGCCAGCCACCGGGAGCTTCCAGAGCTGTCGCATTTCGACCAATAAAATACATTTGCGTCGCTGATTAGTAGCGCTACTCGATCTGATTGGCCAGAACTCAGACGGTAGTCACATCGACGATCGCCATTTCTGATCGCGATCGTGAAATGGATCAATTTGCTACCAGATCAAAAATAGACTAAAGGGCGAGCTAGAGGCTTCGACGATGACGACGACCAAGCGCACGTCTCCCGAGGCCGCGACCGTGCTGAGCCTGCCGCACGCCCTCACCTTGATCGCCCAGTGCCTCCAGTCACATCTTGCCGCCAGCGCCTTTCTCTTAGCGCTGCCACCTGCCTCGCTGAACGCGCCGCTGGCAGCCACCAAGGAGCTCCTGACGCGACCGGGGCCGCTGGCGTATACGTGGCCATCGCTCAATCTCGACGGCGCCATCTTGAGCGCAGGCAACGACATTGCGCTGTACCGGGCGGCCCTGCCCGTGTTCGTCTCGGTGCACGCCACCGAAGTTTGGCATTTTGGGCGCCTCTTCGCGGCCGACAGCACTCAAGCCTTCATCGATTTTGCGACGCAGTGGCCGCTCAAGTTGACGCACGTGACGTCAGAGTGGCGGTACCAAGTCGGCCGCGACGTCTTCTGCGACTTGCTACGGCGCTGCACGCGCCTCCAGTCGACCGATTTGGTCGACGACGAAGACGACACGGACGTCTTTGCCGCGATTACGACGCCCAACCACCGTGTCCACACCATATGCATTGGCGAAGCGAGCTCTGCCGCCACCGACTTGGCCTCGCACGTGCTGCCATGGCTCGGCAGTGGCCACGCTCGCAGCCTTACGATCGAGTGCACCGTAGTCGAAGACGAGGAGGTTCTCGCGCGCGCGCTCGCGACCACGTCCTCGGTTCGGTCTCTCGGTATCCACGACCACCAAGAGTTGCTCGACGCCTTCCTCGAACTCGAGTTGCCGCTGCACCAGCTCACGCACGTCGAGCTGCGGACATATACGCCAGCGGCCGTGGCTCCGTTCTTGGCCCTTCTCGACCTCACCTCACTCACGTCGCTTGCCATCAGCAGCGCGGACGACCACGCTGACTTCTTTCCGCTTGGACGCATGCCCGCACTTCGCCATTTGGCGTCGACTGGAGGCCACATCGGAGATGGCTTTGCCGAGGCGTCGACGTGGCCGGACCTCGAGAGCATGCACTTCAAAGCGATCGACTTCACACCGACGGCATTTGCTACAGTGCTCTCCTACCTCGGCCGCGCGCAAGGCCTCCGCAAAATGGCGTTTCAACAGTGCAAACTGGCGGACGGGTGGTTTGTCAGTGTAAGTCGGACGCTGGTGCGTTTGATCAACAACGGTCTTGCCCATGCGAGCTTCAGCGAAGCGGGTCTGGACGACACGAGCCTCGGCCATCTTGCGCAAACGCTGCGTGAAGGTCGCAATACGACGCCCTTGACGCTGGACCTCTCGCACAACTGCAAGGTGACCATCAATGGCGTTCGAGTGCTTGGAGAAGCACTCGCACAGTGCACCGATGTGCGCGTGATGCTGTATGTGGCGGACCATCAACACATGGACGAACTCCAAGCCTTTGTCGCCACGCATCGCATGGCGTGCGGCGTTGACCCGAATTATTTCACGTTCTATAGTCCTACGTCGATTATGTAACCATCGATCGAGCACGATGTTATGCACATACAGTGCATGGATGTCTCGTAGTACCTTTGTTGGACTGGTTGGAACTCGACCACAAGGAAAAAAATAAAGATGAGCGGAGCCCGGCAGAAGAATGAGCGAGGCCCAAGACGGCGGAAAATTGAGCAGACGCGATGCGCATCAAGGGTCGTCGTCTAATTTAACCCGAGCCGGCACTTATGGCCCACCAAAGCCCCCGGTACAAGGGAAAGGGTAATTACAGGCCCTTTCGCTCCGTTTGAATCCGCAGCCAGTCCACAGGTCGTTTCATTAGCTTTGTTGCTGTTGGTGTTGAAACCCAGTTTTGGAACCGGTCGTTTGCTTGGATTGATAGAAGTCGATCGGGGCTCAATCGATCATCAATCTGTGAGGCCCGAGCACATAGACACGCACGGTTGTGCGTCGGTGCACGCTTCCGGAGTCGCATCGAGACCAGTGCTCACTACCTTTATACTAGTATATATGATATCGATAGCTAGAGTACATGACATGAATATATCTGGTTTTACGACGCGTCAAGCAGGGCTCTACACAATCAATCAAACGTGTTCGCGTTGATATCAAATTAGCAAAACGAACGCGAAGACTTCGCATACGTAGTGCCTGAATGCGTGGGAGCTGGCTCAAGAAACACAAACCAGCAACGCAATCTTGCATCGCATCGAGCTACATCGCTACATCGCATCATAGTACTGAAAATGTGTGGAAGGGCTGCACAACGTATAGAGCTCGTTCGTGATAGTCGTCGCCACACCATGGAAGGCGGCAAACGCTTCAATCTCGGCCTTGTACGGTGCGAGAAGGTCGAAGCTTTTGCATACAATCTCGATTCGCACGTAGAGGCACGTTGCAAGGGCTTTTACAAGCGCGCCGACGCCCTTGATGCCAATGTCGTTCTCGGTGAGGTCCAGATGAAGCGGCGACGACGCATTGCACCCTTCGCGCAGCGCAAGTGCGAGAAGGGCAGCGCACGTGTCGTCGAGGTCGGTATCCATGAGCTTCGCCACCGTCAGTCCATTGGCGATCAATTGAGTCAGTGCGTAACTCCAATCAAAGAACGACGTTGCCGCCATGCTCTCGGGGCCTTCGAACGACACCTCTCGGAGATTTTGTACACGGTCGAAATACGCCTGGAGCGCGATCTGGGCGGTCGAAGCCAAGGAGACGCGTTCGAAGGCGATGCTCTCGAGGTCCGGCCACGTCGACGCGTCAGCGAATGCAAACCCGACACAGCCGTTGGTCAGTGCGAGGTGGCGGAGCAATGGCATGTGTCGCACGAGACGTAGAGTGTCTGCGTGATCCGTGCTGCAATCCAACTTGAGGGATGTCAACTTGGTAAAATCCAGACGCGTCAAGAAGAAGCCAAGGAATTTGACACTCGACGTCTCCACTTGTATCTCGGTAAAGTGATGCAGTGGCCGATTCAAGACAAGAAGCGCACGGACAAGGTCGTCGGCGCCCCATATGGCGAGGCCTCGCAGCGAGGAGGTTGTTGCGAGTGCCAGCGAAAGCGCCGCGGCGTCCCCGTCCCCAAGATGCCTTCCGCTTAGAAAAGTAATGTGCCGAGCGTGGCCACTGGTGAGCCACGGCTTCAAAAGCGAGCTCCAGTCGCCCGCAGCGGGGGCTGTCGTCATATCGACGCAAAGCGAGCGCACGCGGTGAGCGGGCGTCGTGACGGCTGCGAGGACGTCGCCGGCGTTCTCGCCACCGTCCAACTCGATCGAACGGAGGCGCGTGCAGCGATGTAGCAGGCTGCAAAAGACCGCAGAGCCGACCTTGCGCCGCCACGTTGCGTCCACGAACGTCATCTTGAGTGGCCACTGCGAAGCAAACTCGATGAACCGGGACACGGCGTATTTTTCCTCGTATTTTTCGTCGTCGTCGGGTGGTGGCGCCGTTGCCAGGCACGTGAAGTACTCAAGTTCTGAGCTGCGTACGGACGTGAACACGGGTAGCGCCACTCGAGCCAGCGGAGTGTCGATGCTCGCCAAGTCGACGAGGTTGAGCTTCGGCCACATGTGGGCCACCATGCTCGGTCGCACCAGAAGCTCCAAGATTGCCGCCAGTGGTGCGTCCAGTGCGGCAGGTGGCAGCGCATACAGAAAGGCGACGACGTCGCGTGGTGACTCGAGGCACTGGACGATCAAGGTGAGGGCTTGCGGAAGGTCCATGGCCATCGTGGTCGCGGGACACGTG